ACGCTCTTCAGAGGCGTCTGCAGCCGGGCCAACTCAAAAAGACTCTGTTACTGAGGAAATACTGTACACTGGACTTCAGCCTGGAACTGCATCTCAATCATGAGGAAGAGGACACCAAGGATGGTCAGCAGGGTCTTTCTAGTTTACGCACCGACACCTTTTCTTCCTTGTTAGATATTTCACCAAGATGAACTTTTGCACCTATAAATATCTTATTCATACAATATGTGCTGGGTGTTAGTCTGTGTGGTCACTGCACCTTCATCATCATCATCATGTTTTAATTATTATTTTATTTAGTTTTTTTGTTCTTCCTTCATTAGAGGCTCTGACACAATCCAAACCTGGAATTGAACCCCAAACCGTGGTGTAGGAAGGGCAGATAAAACAAAAACAGCTAAAGGTTAGCGGAACGTGAGCAGAAGTAGCTAAAAATGAGTGGAACAGAGAAAACCAGGAAAACCAGGAACGACAGTTCTCTGATCCCAGTGATAAGAATAGTCATGAATACAACTGGAGTCTCGTCTCGTCTCGTCCTGCTGCGGTCAGGACGGGACGTAGGAGGTGCTTAGAGGTTAGCCATGGCAGCTAAAAGATAACTATCAGTTAGCCTGGGTCAGGGGGGGGGGGGGGGCAATACCACCATATAATCACCACAGTGATAATACTCGTGGAGTCCGTGGATGTCTGTAGTTTTCTTTATACATTGCTGCCGTCAGGAACCTGGAGTTTCCATAGATTTCTGTGTCGAGTTTAAGGTTGAAAATTCCGACAATCATGAACGCACCATGAGTTACAGTGATCAAACATGTCTCAAACTGTCACCTTATGTAGGGAGAGTGGGGGTGAGGGGCCGGTGTGACTAACCCCCCCCACAGTGATGTTGTCGTGGAACAGCAGTGAACGCGGCTCGTCCTCTGATCCACTTTATTTTCCTCGGCAGAAAAATGGAACACGTTCAAATGAAAAGGAGAAGAAAAAAAAGGAGAGAGAATTCTGGTTTTGCTTCTTTTCTTTTTTTAACTTTTATACATCATTGAACTAAATATGCCACTCTATGCTACAGGCTGTGAGTAAGTCAAACTGATAATAAGGTTAAATAATTTCTCTTTAAAAGATACACAAACACTTCTTTCACTTCTCATTAGCACTCAAAACAAAACGGTTTGAAACAAAATTACAACCAGGTTATCCAAAAACTGTCCTTCGCTGTGTTCTCGTCAGAGGAGGAGGAGGAGGAGGAGGAGGAGGAGGAAGAGGAGGAGGAAGAACAAAACGACGGCTACGTCAGGATTAGCGTTCTGGTTCTAGAGATAAAAATCGACTTCCTGTTCCTGTGAAGTTGCGGAAAATGTTTCACTCTTTACACAAAAAAAAAACAAAACAAATGTGGAAATCAAAGGAAAGTGATTGGTTGTTGAAAAGTGACGCGTCATGTTCCTGCAGCCAGACGCTGCTGACTCAGCGGTTTCTGAATCTCGACAGGAGAAAAATTAGGATTTTTATTAGAATAAAAAGAATTAAATTTAAATGTTTTTCACTGAAAACTAGAACCAGGAAGTTCACACGTCTGATGTGATGCTGATGCAAACGGTACCATCAAACGGGGGCTGAAAATAAACTTATAATATTCATTCAACAAAAGAAAATTGTCCCTCGAGTTCGCCATCTAGTGGTTGAACCAAAAAGCAGTGTAATGCTTATAAACTATAACGTGGACAATTCTGAAGCAGAGTTAAATTAAAAAGTCCGACAGGCATCATACAGCCCGCCAGCCACTGTTGACCCACCTCTGGGTTATGATTTAAGGTGGCACCAACACAAATAGACCAGAGGAAACAACCCATGTGACGGTTCCTGGTACTAACAAGGTTCCTGGTACTATGCTGCTTCAACCACAGCAGCGACTGGAACTGTTCTTTAATTATTCCACTGA